AGCTATTGGCATTTCCAAGTTCTCATTGATCATTCAGACCATCCATCCTGTAGTTCTTTTGAAGCTCAAGTTGTGTAGTTTGATTTTTCTTTTCCTTACTACAGTCATCTACCTCCTGCTATTTTCATAATTCGTTAATGCTTTTTAGACACCAGCTCAATCTTCATTTTTTTCTTTTTTAAAAAAAATATATTTTATTGATTTTTTTTTTTTTTTACAGAGAGGGAGAGAGAATAGAGAGCTAGAAACGTCGATGAGAGAGAAACATCGACCAGCTGCCTCTTGCACACCCCCTACTGGGGATGTGCCCGCAACCAATGTACATGCCCTTGCCCGGAATCGAACCTGGGTCAGTCCTAAGACCGACACTCTACCACTGAGCCAAACTGGCTTCGGCTCAGTCTTCATTTCTTTCCCAAATCCAGCTATCATCTGGACTTCAAGGACCATGCAGTTATCCAGCACTCTGGCCTTCATGTTTCCTTAACACCCCCCACTCCTCCCCCAATTTTAATTACTCTAAAGGCTACACTGGAACTTAAACAATACTGAAACTTTACATAGTACCTAAAACTTTAATAATAGCTATCACTTCCTGTCCTCCAGCTTTCTTATACCGCCTACATCTGCTTCAACCTAATGTCCCTAGTACCCTGGCCCCAGTCCTCAAATGTAGCTTTCCTTCCTTTTCTGTTGACCTAATCCGTATTGTGTATCCTTCCCTAATACCTACTTCACTTGGCTCATTACAGCTGTTCTCAGCTTTTACATCAGATAAATTTGCACTTATTGATGAGCACTGTCACTAATCACATTCACCACTTTGGCTGGGGCATATTTCATTTTCTTTTTCTTTTTTTTTTACAGAGAGGATAGAGAGTTAGAAACATCGATGAGAGAGAATCATTGATCAGCTGCCTCTTGCACACCCCCTACTGGGGATGTGCCCACAACCAAGGTACATGCCCTTGACCGGAATCGAACCTGGGACCTTTTAGTCCACAGGCCAACGCTCTATCCATTGAGCCAAACCGGTTTCGGCATATTTCCTTTCCTTTCAACAACCACTTCAAGCCTTCATCACTGCCCTCAAGTTTCCTTCCTAAACCTGTCATCTGCAGAAACCTTGTCCTACTTCACAGAAAAAAAATGGAGGCTATCAGGTTCGAGTTCTATCCCCTACCTTTTGCTCTCTTCCATAAATCTTTCCACCTGGTCTTCCCTTCCCATCTTAGAGGAAGATCATGTCCTTTCTCTCTGCTTGAGGCTCATTATTCCAGCTCTGCTCTAGAATTCTTCCCTATCCTTTTCTTTCTTAGTTGATTAATCTCTCCTTTATTCCCCAAAGTCTATTAACATACTCAAGTAGCTCTCACCTTAGAAACAAAATTTCTCAGCCTTGTTTATTGCAGCTCCTAACATGAGTTACTCCCATTCATTTACTGTCAGAGATTTTTCCAAATTCTACAAATTAACTTCACCTCATCTTCTCACTCATCAGGACATTTATGCCACTGAACCTGCTTTTGAATGTACTTTATTATTGGCTTCTTAATTACCAAAATGAGACTCTTGATTTTTTCTTCTTTGTATATATGACACTGTTGACTATTCTAAAATTATTTTCTCTTTGGAAACTCCATTCTGGTTTTCCTAGTCTATGATTTTATATACTCACTAGAGGCCCGGTGCACGAAATTTGTGCGTGGGTAGGATCCCTAGGCCTGGCCGGCAATCAGGGCCTTCCCTTGTTCTGCACCACCCCCTGGTAGTCAGCACGCATCATAACAAGCGATCGAACTCCCAAAGGGACACTTTGCATATTAGCCTTTTATATAGATAGATTATATTGACAAGTCTAACAAAATCTTTAGCCCAGATCACTTATTGAGTTCTGGCCCCATGTATCCATCACCTACTGTACATTTTCACCTGAATATCTTTTTTCTTTGTTTTGTTTTTGTTAATCCTCCCCTAAGGATATTTTTCTTTTTCTTTTTAAAAAAATACATTTTATTGATTTTTTTACAGAGAGGAAGGGAAAAGGATATAGCTAGAAATATTGATGAAAGAGAAACATCTACCAGCTGCCTCCTGCACACCCCCCACTGGGAATGTGCCTGCAACCAAGGCGCACACACCTGACCAGAATCAAACCTGGGACCCCTGAGTCCACAGGCCGACAATCCATCCACTGAGCCAGACCAGTCAGGGCTAAGGATATTTTTCTATTTTTTAGGGAGAAGGAAAGAGAGAAACATTGATGTGAGAGAAACACATCAATTGGTTGCCTCTTGCACAATCCCTGACCAGGGCCTGGGCTGGGGAGGAGCCTGCAACCAAGGTACGTGCCCTTGACTAGAATCAAATCTGGGACCCTTTGGTCCTCAGGCTGATGCTCTATTCAAATGGGCTAGGGCTCCACCTGAATATCTTACGAGCACTTCATATACATCATGATGAAACATGCTCCCCTTCTGAATTTTGTCATTTAATGGTTCCATTGGCCACTCCACCCAAATCTCGGCATTATCCTACTGGACTGTTCTGTGTCCTAACAATCAGATTCCAGTTACCATTGGTTTTAAACTCTTGAAATGTCCTTAGCCAGAGATTTTTTATTTTATTTTATTTTTTTATTTTATTGATTTTACAGAGAGGAAGAGAGAGGGATAGTTAGAAACATCAATGAGAGAGAATCATTGATCAGCTGCCTCTTGCACACTCCCTACTGGGGATGTGCCCGCAACCAAGGTACATGCCCTTGACCGGAATCGAACCCAGGACCTTTCAGTCCGCAGACCGACGCTCTACCACTGAGCCAAACCGGTGCCGGCTGAAATGTCCTTAATCTAATGTTTCTCTCCATCCCATGCTAGTCATAGTAATCTCTTACTTGGATATTGCAAACAGCTTCCTAATTCTTGACCTTTGGTCTTATCGTAACCCATTCTTTACATACTTCTTTCAGAATGAGCTTTCAAAAAATTCTAATTTTTGCTTTTTAGAACAGGGTCAAGCTCTTCAGTCTGGCATCCAAGCTTCTCCAATACAGACTCTGCTGACTTTCTCAGTCCCAGGTTTTACTATACTTCCACTGTCATCTGTATAGGTTGAACACCTCAGTCCTCCAATAGGCCAGGCTTATTCCTTTGTTCCTTCCCTTCTCTATGGTCTTCTAATTGGTCTAGTTTCTCTCTCTTTTTTTTAAAAATATATTTTTATTGATTTTTTTTTTTACAGAGAGGAAGAGAGAGGAATAGAGAGTTAGAAACATCGATGAGAGAGAGACATATTGATCAGCTGCCTCCTGCACACCCCCTACTGGGGATGTGCCCGCAACGAACGTACATGCCCTTGACTGGAATCGAACCTGGGACCCTTCAGTCCGCAGGCTGACGTTCTATCCACTGAGCAAAACCGGTTTCGGCCTCTTTTTTTTTTAAGATTCAGCTTGAGGATCTTTACTTTCAAGCTTTTCAACTATTCCATTCTGCCCATCTTATGGGCTACTAAGTATTCTGTACAGAAATCTGTTATTGTACCAAGTAGCTTATATATCTGTCCCACTAGTCTGAGTTCAAGATTAAGGGTCATATTTGATTCTTAATATCCTAGTGTTCGCACAGGGTCTGGCATGTACTACCCAAATGAGTTATTGGGTGAAAATCTGGTGAAGCTGCTACAGACAAACCTCAGCTTACCCTAAAGGAGTTTAGCCAGGCCCTGAAACCCTCCATTAGTACAGAAAATATGGGCAGACCTGCATAAGTCATATTCCCAAGAGATAAGCTAGGCAATGGGCTTAGCTAAGCAGAGGTATTGCTGCAGGGTTCTTACTTTTCATTGATCTTTCTCTTAGGTGGCTATGGTTTCATCCCCTGGTTTTTCTTCTCCCTATGTATGGAGATGACTTAGCCCTGTCTTCCCCAATCTTCCCCCAGGCAGGAACCATCGAGGAGAAGATCTTTCAGCGTCAGAGCCACAAGAAGGCACTGAGTAGTTGTGTGGTGGATGAAGAGCAGGATGTGGAGCGACACTTCTCTCTGGGCGAGCTGAAGGAGCTGTTTACCCTGGATGAGGCTAGCCTCAGTGACACCCATGATAGGTGGGTGTAGCCATTATCTGGACGCTCCTTATAGCTTGGAGATGGGGTGTACAGTAACCACAGCTTTGTCCTCTGCCCCCAGGTTGCGCTGCTGCCGTTGTGTCAACAACCACCAAGTCAGGCCACCCCCTGATGGTTCTGACTGCACCTCAGACCTGGCTCAGTGGAACCATAGTACTGATAAGCGGGGGCTCAGGGATGAGGTACTCCAGGCTGCCTGGGATGCTGCCTCCACTGCCATCACCTTCGTCTTCCACCAGCGTTCCCATGAGGAGCAGCGGGGCCTCCGCTGATAACTAGTCTGGGTATAGCTGTTAAACGGGAGGAGGCAGGGAGAGGGGCTTCTTGCCCCTTAGGGCCCTGCTGGATTTTGTTCTCTGGGAGAAAAATCATCAAGAAGGGCTGCATGATGTTTGCCCAAAATTTATTTTATAAGAAAAACTTTTTTGGTTAAAAAAAAGAAAGGAATAAAGGTATGAAAGGGACTGAGGCCTGGGAGCAGCATGGTGAGCCCAGCAGAGAAGAGGCCTGGAAGTAGGCACTCCTATATTTCTTTCTCTAAAGCTTGGGGACCTGCTTGAGGTGGGAAAGCAGAAACCCCGGAGCAGGGGGTAGGGGGGCTGTCCTCAGATGACCACTGTAACCTCCTGGCTCAGGGTTCTCAGGTTGCTGAGTAAGAGGCCCAAAGCCTCTAACCCCAGTTCTGGGAATGCCTTTGCTGGGCCTCACCAAGGCCTCCAGAACCTCAGTGCAAGGGAAGAAGGAAAATAGAGGGGGCGGGGAAGGTGGCAGAAAGAGAAAGACAGAATTGGTTGGGAGTTCTGGGCAGCCCGTGCCTCAGCCCTTGCAAGCTGATGATACTGAGCACGGACCTGTGAGGCACGGGGCCCCATCACATGGTGCTGACATAATCTGCGAAAGCCTGGGATGAGTCCCACGAGTCGCTAACCACATGGCAGGTAGCCCGGAGCCGCCGGATAGCTTCTCTGGCTGTGACTGCATCCTGGTCCAGCCAGTTCTGGAAGAGGCGCAGGTGACCAAAGGCTCCACGGCCCCAGCGCTCCAGCCGCTTGGCGAACTCCAGAAGCCCATCTGGCTTGATGCAGTTGGAACTGGTAGGGATGAGATGGGTTAGACACCCAGAAAGCCACTAATCTCTTGTCTGCTCCTGCATCTCTATCCCATGTTTCCTTCCCTCCCAACCCCCAATGTATACCTGATGTCCAGCTGACACAGAGAGGAGGATGAATCCTCTGAGAAAACATCTGCCAGGGCCAGCAGGCCAGCATTCCCTAGGGAGAAGCGGAGAAATGTTGATAAACACTCAGAATAGGGAATAAGGTTATCCCAGCCTGTTTCTGGCTGGGGAGGAGCCCAGCCTTCTGAAGTCTCAGCACACAACTATATTCTAACCCCCCATGCTTCCACTGAGTTTCTAGGTCAAAAGACTGGCTCCTCCCCCCTCTCTTCCCTCCATTCCCAGGGCCTTGCCCCCACCCAGGCGATTCCCTGGCAGCCGGAGGCCCTTCAATGTGGAGTTGCCCTTCATAGCAGCAACCATCTCAGGCAGAAATTGGGCCGGGCGCTTCTCAAACAGACGGCAGAAGGAGAAGGTAATCTCTGTCAAGAGAAATTAGAATAAATTCTGATGGCTGCATTAGGATTGGTGCTGCCCCTCCTGTCCCAATTGGCCTTAGCAAAGGGTGTGAAAATTTTATAGAGCCTAGACAGAGAAAGGAATTGTCCAAGACCCCCAGTAAGGCTAGAACTAAATTAAGATTCAAACCACAGATTAAGCCTCGATATTTACTTAGGAAGGTTCTCTGCATGGGCAGAGTCTCCATTCACTTTCACTTATCCCTTGACTGCCCTCTTTGTAGGGCTGGGGATTAGAGTCAAGTCTATGAGGAGAGCCTGTTGGCACATTAATCCCCGTCCACTACTATCATTTCTGTCGGCACTGAAAGATAAAAGCTTTTGGGTGAGGCACTCTAAAAGAGTAATTTTCCATGTGTAGTATAGGAGGTGTTGAGTTTGGAATCTTTTAGAAAGAAGGCCAAGCAGGCTCTATAATTTTATAGTGGACATAGGCCAATATAAAAATTGGCTCACTCAGTGAGACAGTGGCAGAGCTACAATATGCACTCGGGAATGCCACAGGTTCTGGATGAAAATCTTACCTTGAAGAGTCAGATTCTGTAGCAAAAAGAGCACCTCGCTCTGACAGTCAGCCAAATTCATGTCATGGAAGCTCAGTCTCTTCAGGGCTAGGTTGTACTCTGGATGGGAGCACAGGCCATGGGCATCATTAGCTTTTCCAACGGATAATGCAAAGTTCCGCCTGCCATCCTTTACCACTCTGGGTCTTACCTTTGAGTGTCTGCAACACAAGCCCAAAATCCTGGGGAGAGGCAAAGGTGGTGCTATCCAGGGACAGCTGCTGCAGAGAACCTGAGGCCTTCAGTACAGAGCAGAGCAGTGGGGCTGACTGGGCTCCCCGTGGAAACCCCATCTCCAGCTGTTCCAGGCAGTTTTCTGGATGTGGTAAGGAAAGATTTCAGCTGGCCATCTACTTCACCCATATAGCAGGTCCTACTTGACTTTAAGTGATTCACTTAGTCATATGTGTACTTTTCCTTGAGTACCTATACTATATGCTCGGCACTGTCTTAGGTTCTGGGAATAGAGCAGAACATATGAAATTTAGTCCTTATTTTTATGGAGCTTTTAGTCCAGGAAGACTAGACTACCTGGACATGCCAATATAACAAAGTATGCAGAGTGGTGGGATAGGAGACATACCGGAGTTCAGGGAATACACATACAGCAGGAGGACCTAATCTGGTTTAGCAATTGTTCTTGGTTCAGACCCCTTTTCTGGAAGCTGATCTAGTAAGTCACTCCTTACTAGATTTGTAGTCTGGGCCCTTAAGAATAGCAAGATAAAGGGAACAGATTCCAGATAAATCAGGTGGCAGGGCTGAATTTGAGATCTTCCCTCCTTACACAAATGCACCTGCACATTTCTGTAGAGATAGACGCGCGCACACACACACAGTGCTTCACCTGGTATCTCTTCATCCCCAATTATGTGGCTAGGGAGCCCTGCATTCCCTGGCGCAGCAGGGTTGTCCCTTTGGCTGGGGTGGTCCACGCGAATAGAGAGGACCCGCAGCAGGGGCAGGGCTCGCACAATGGCACGTGTCAGCTCCAGGATGGGCAGTGGTGAGAACAGGTCACTGAGATGCAGGGCACGGAGGCGGCATCCAGCCTGGCCTGACAGGGCCCGGAGGCTGTCCAGCAGGCGAAAGATGTTAGAGCCCAGGCCTATGGCAAGAGAGAGTCATGTGGGAGTGTCGGCAAGGGTAGCATTCAGAGACAACTCCAAATATTCCATTGATAACTATAAAATCTTGAACTTTGGATCAGATTATTTTAAAATCACTTGTCTCAATTATGCTGTCTTGCTTTTTTTCCTCAGGTAACCAGCAAACTGATGTCTACTGTATGGGTTTTGCCTTCAAGCATCAGTCAGGCAGAGTCCTAAGACAGGATATGGTGGGGCAGCATGTAGCTGCCAGCTGTATGACAGACCCAGGCAGCAGCAGAGGTCTCGGGTTTTTCTACAAGTCATTTCCTGAAAGTCAAGGACAATGATCCAGTAGGGACTACTTTTAAAAATGTACTGAGTGGGAATGGGGCAAAAAAGAATAGCCATATCCCACAGAAAGGAGTAGGATCCAGAAAGTTAGAAAAGTTGCTTAATGCCACAAAGCAAATTCTGTGCAATCTGCTTATTTCATTCAACTAAACCAGAACTCTGTAAATAAGGTGGGGTTTTATTTTTAAATCTTCACTTGATATTTTGCCTTTTTTTTGTTTTTTTTTAAGAGAGATGAAGAGAGAATACAGAAATATCGATGTGAGATGAAACATCGATTGGTTGCTTCCTGCACACCCCCTGACCAGGGCCTGGACTGGGGAGGAACCTGCAACTGAGGTACATGCCCTAGACCAGAATCGAACCTGGACCATTTTTGTTGTTGTTGCTAAGACAGTAGTGAGTAACATCTTGTTCCTGCCTCTATAGTCTGATAACAAAAAACATGGTGGGAACTGGGTAAGTAGAGTACTGTGGAAGTATAAAGGATGCTTCAGACTCAGTTCAGTTTACATAAGTAAAGGTTTCCAGCTGAGTCCTAAAAAACATTAAGGAGCCTGGTTGGCGTGGCTCAGTGGTTGAGCATCAACCCATGAATCAAAAGGTCACTGGTTTGATTTCCAATCAGGGCACATGCCTGAGTTCTGGGCTTGATCCCCAGTAGGGGGCATGCAGGAGACAGCCCATTGATGTTTCTCCCTCCCCCTCAAAAAATGTTTTTAAAAGATCATTTTCAATAAAGGAGATCTGCTAAATGGAGGGAGGAGAGTGATAGTGGCACAGTGAACCTGTTATACATAAGGCCTGAAGAAGAGTGGCAGGTTCTAAACTGAAAAATCAAAGTGGCTGGTGTAGGGGGGTAAAATGTTCAGGATGGAGGTAAGCAGCAGTAAAAACATGATGATCCTGTAAGCAAAATTAAGACATGGTGACAGAAAACCACTGAAGGGTTTTAAGTGAAAAAAATGGGCTTCAGCGTAATTACATGGTGAGTACTGACTCTGGAGGAACTGCTGAAGTGAATCCAGGTGAGAAGCACTAGTCTGAATTAAGGATGTGGAGAGGAATAAATGGATTTGAGAAATAGACTGTAAAGATAGGACCTGGCAACCAAATGTATTTGGAATAAGAAATAATGCAGGTTCCTTTTTTGGCAACTGAACCAACTGTGATGTCCATTAAGAGAAGGAACATTATAGAGAGGGAAGAAGATACATTCAGGTTGGGGAGCTTGTGGTTTATAAAATGACATCTAGTAATCAGTTGGATGGATATGTCTGAACTAATGTCAGAACTGGGGTGGGGGAGGGGTGTTCAGCATAGTTGGCCTTTGAAACCAAGGGAATGGACAGAATTGTCTAGGAATTGTGTGAAGTAGGAGAGCTCTAACCATTAGGAAAGACATAATATCCAGAGATAGAAGGAAAAAGGGTTTTGAAGAAGTGGGAATGAGTATTTCATGAGGAAGACTGCTTAATGGCAACTGCTGCCAAGAACTTATATATTGAACTTAGCAACAAAGAAGATCTTGCTGACAGATCTTTGATGCATAGTGGGTATGTAAGCAAGACGAGTGGGCTGAGAGAAAACAGGTAACTCTTAAGGTTGTGAAGGGCAAGAGAAAATAGGTCTAGTTAATATGGTAGAGAAATGGTGGTGGTAGATTTTGGTAAATACCCAACTGAATGTTTAAATGGTGTGGGAGGGACCGTGGAGAGAAGGGAGGCAACATTAGTGGTTTAAAAGCATGAACTGGAGCCAGCTTGTGTGGGTTTCAACCCTGGCTCTGCAATTTACTACCCAGGTATCCTGGGCAAGTCACTTAACCTCACAGGGTTGTTGTAAGGATTAAATTAATATAATGGGAATACTTTAAAGTATGCTTGGCACATATTAAGCAGTATATGGAAACTTAATATTAAACAAGCTTTCCTAAGGTGAGAGGGTATGGGTCCAGAGCACAGAAGAGTTAGCTTTCAACAGGATGGTGGAGAAAGGAAGGATGCAAGTAGATGGAGAGTTTGTAGGCTGGCTAATTGAAGGAGTTTATGTGGTGGTATCTTTTCTGTGAAGTAGGAGGTAAGGTCACCTACTAGTAAAAAAAGTAAGGGAAGTAAAGGTTTGGAAGTGGTAGAATGGGAGCTGATGTTGCAAACAGGCTTTAAGGTTGATAACTATAGTAGCATCAATATGCAATTGTATGATTTTTCTCTAGCAATGTTCGTTAAACTAGGAAAATTGCTAAATTTAGCCAGAATTAACTTTGCCTAGCTGGGCACAACCAGGTAGGAAAGAATTGCGTTACAGGTTACTGGTCTGATATGCTTCACACCTCTGCCCTGGCAGGTGTGTCCGCCTGTTCACGGGAAGGTTGTAGGTTCAATTTGTAGTCAAGGACACAACTCATTTGTGGATTACCTTCACCACCACCTCTGTTGGGTCACATGCAGGATGCAACTGCTTGATGTGTGTCTCACATCAATATTTATCTCCATCTCCCCCTCTACTCTGAAAAAATATCAAGTGAGGATTTAAAAAAGAAGTCCCACACTTCCTTGTCTGCTTTTATATGCCCAGTGGGATCTAGCTTCAGTCCTGGCTAGGCTTGCGTACACTACTCCCACTGGCCTTTGACCTGCCATATCTAAAATGTACTCATTTTTCAGTTTCTCCTTGCCCCTCGGAACCCTTTCAACAACTAAGCAAGCCTCATGTTCTTCCCTGACAAACAGCATGCCACACTACATGCCTTCTGCCTCCCTGTGAGGCAGACGGCCACATACTCTAGGTACTCCATAGGATTGGGCCTACAGGTGCTGCTAGAAGACCCAAACCCTGGTCCTCTGGGGCACTCACCATTGTAGGATAGTGTGAGGCTTTCCAGAGACACCCAGGAGCTCAGCAGGTGGCACAGTGTCAGAGCTGCCTCTGTGGAGAGTGGGACTGTGAAGAGCTCCAAGGTGGAAATGCTGCGGAATCGTTGGGAGGCCTCAAGCGCTGGAAGCCCCAGGCAGCTGGGATCTGACCCATCCAAAGCGCTACAAGCCACTTCCCCAATTTCCATCTCTTCCCCATCTTCCTTCTCACCAGCCACAATGAAAACAAAGTCATACAGGTCTTCAGACTCTGCACCAGCCCCTTGACGAGTGCGAGCACCCTTTTTCCCTGTGGCTCTCTTAAAACGCTTTAAGGGCTTAGGCTGTGGGGCTGAGCTAGCTGGAGCCCTTTTAGATGCGGATGTGGAAGAAGAGGGAGAGGCCGAGGAGGTGGCTGGAGCAGAGGGTGGCTGCTTGGTGCCAGGACCCTCATGGGAGGTAGCTGGAGGGTGCAGCTCCCTCTTACGGTCTATCCCACCTGCTCTCAGGCTCTCCTGTGTGCTCCTGCGTGTAACCCGAGTGGTAGGTGGGGCTCTGGCCATCTGCTTGGCTTCACTCTTCCGACGGGAAGCCATCAGGGCTGCAGCGCATCGCTCGGCAGCATCCCTGCGAGGCCTGCGTGAGCCCAGCAGGAGGGAGCTTTCCTCTCGGGATGGGGCCCGGCCTCGAGAGGCCTCTCCACACAGGCGGCAGGGAGGACCGCCAGGGCCTGGCTGCCAGAAGCCAGCACTCATGGTGAGGATAAGGATGAAAAGGGCTGACTCAGGCACAGGCCAGGAGTAGAGTGACACCTGGTTGACAACCCCATGGTGAATAAGCTGATGCAACAGCTGTCGAAGTGATTGCTGAGCAGCCACATCAGAGAATAGCAGGTGGCGGAACTTGAGAGTGTGCAGGGAACTGGCCAGGGTCTCCAGAACCCTGCGGTTTGGCTCAGCCACCAGCTCAGTTGCACCCTGCAGCATGTTGCAGATGGTGAGCTGCCGGACATGGCGGGAGCTGTGCAGAAGAGGTGAGAAGCGCTGGTCACAAAGACGCTTGTCTGAAGACACGTCAATGGTTCCACGTAGAACATGGGAAAAAAAGGCCTCCATAAACTTGGCTCGCCAACACGTCACGCTCTGAAAGCAGAGAACATGCCAGACAGCTATGATAGGAGTGCTACCCATGGAACCATCATCATACTAGTTTCCTAGCTATTTAATGTGCCAGGCAGCATTGTAAGTAATTTATACAAATTCTTACATCTTGGGGGCATGTATTACTATAAGCCTCATTTTACAGGTTAAAAAAAAGGGATACAAAGGTTATTGCCTGTGATTACACAGGTAAATGGCAGAATCAAGATTTGAATCCAGGTCCTGCCAGGATAGCTCAGTTGGTGAGAGCATCTTCCTGATAACCAAAGTTATGGGTTCAATTCCTGGTCAGGGCACATATAAACGAGTGCACAAATAAGTGGAACAACAATTTGATATTTCTCAAACACCCAGTAAGGTTTTTTTGTTTTGTTGTTTTTCAAAACCCAAAGAGATGAGCCTAGGAAAGTTGGTTCCGGAGACCAGTTTGCTAAAGTGCTTCACCAGTGAAAGTCAATCCTATAAATTCTCCCATGTTTCTAGAATCTGATCCCAACTTTCCATTCTTAAAACTACTTACATTTGTTTAGTAACCTTATCACCTCACATCTGACTTATTAGCCTCCTGTCCTTTTGGGATAGATAGCAGTGAATCCTAACCTCTGCACCAAAATCATTAGGGTAGGTTTAAAAACTCGCAAGTCCACTGGGCTTAACTTTGTAAAATACCTGTTTACATTATTTGGTTTTATTATTCTTTTGTGTACATTATTTGTTATTTTTTTAAAAAAAAATACACACAAAAACATGTTTTCCTACTATCCAGGGTTAATTTGAAGATCCTCACCTTGTCAGGAAAAACCCTCCACAATATAACCTCTGCCTATCTCAGAAGTATATTTCCCACACATTTACTCCATGAATGCTTTGCTCTGGCCAAGCTTGATTACCTCACTGACAATCTGCTTTCTAGGTCCTTTCCTATATTTGCCCCAAATGTTTTCCATTACCAAAGCAAATAGGTTTCCTGGAAAGACCTACTAACCTTTTATACTCTGTTAGTGTTTGTCTCAGTATGCCCCCTTCACCATCCTCCTACCTCTTGTTGGGACTACTCAGGTCCTAGGCTTCATGGTATTGAGTCTGCCTGTGCACATCTTATCCCAGAAATAGTAGAAATTCCTGGAGAGCAGGAACCGAATCTTAAATTTGTTTTCTCCAAAGCAAGTTATTTGCTTTGATGAATATGACTTCATCAGTCTATTCTGAAACATAAAACTTAAGTACAAGTGATTTTGAACCTTAATTGCACATCAGCATTTACTGTGGGACTTTTCCACCTAAAATTTATACACTGGATACCCAGACTTGAAGATTCTGTTAAATCTGATGTAAGGCCTGTGCATCTGTTTATTTCTAAACCTCCCCTAATGATTTTGATCAGAGGTTAGGATTCACTGCTATCTACCCCAAAAGGACACACAGACTTCCCTAAGTTTCCATTCTCTCCCAAGATGCAATGAAAGGCTGACCTTGATACAGGTGCCAGCTCTGCTACTATACTATGGACCTTTCTGAACTCTTCATCTATAAAACCTGCTTCACAGGTGAAGATCAAATGAGGCAATGAACATTAAAGTACTTTGTAAAGTGTAAAATACAAAATGTAACTTCTGATAATTAGCCAAGATGAGGCAATGTGAAATGGACTTGTTGGAGGCAGAGCCTGCTAAGCAGAGTGTTTACTCAGCCTGAAGCAAAGGTAATAGGGAGCTAAGTCTTTGGTACTTACCTGACCTTTATGCATTCCCTTATACCAGAGTAACCCTCAATCCATATGTGAGGTTCTTTTTTTTTCTTCTTAAAATTTGTTCATATTTTTATTTTTTAAAATAAATCTTTATTGTTCATATTACAAATGTTCATTTCCCCCCCCTCCATTGCTCTCCTCCACCAGGTTCCCACTCCACCCTCTGCTCTTTCCCCCCCACCACTGTCCTCATCCATAGGTGCACAGTTTATGTTCAGTCTCTTCCCACACCCCCCCTCTCACCTTTTCCCCAAGAATCGTCAGTTCACTCCCCTTCCATACCTCTGATTCTATTATATTCAACAGTTAATATTGTTCATCAGATTTTTTTAAATTCCCTTGGTTTTTAGCTTCACTTGTTGAGTTATGTATTTGTTGTTCATAGTTTTTATCTTTATTTACTTTCCGAAAGAACCCCCTTCAGCAATTCATATAATTCTGGTTTAGCTTTTTTTTAAAATATATATTTTATTGATTTTTTTTACAGAGAGGAAGGGAGAGAGAGCGAGCTAGAAACGGTGATGAGAGAGAAACATCGACCAGCTGTCTCTTGCACACCCCTACTGGGGATGTGCCCGCAACCAAGGTACATGCCGCCCTTGACCGGAATCGAACCCGGGACCTTTCAGTCCGCAGACCGACGCTCTACCACTGAGCCAAACCAGTTTCGGCTTTTAGCTTTTTTTTTTTTTTTTTTTTTTTTTTTTTTTTTTTTTTTTTAGTGAAGCTCTTTATCTGGTCTTCAAAGCTATATTAGTGATACAGCTTTGCTGGGTAGAGTATTTTTGGCTGTAGGTTCTTGCTATTCATCACCTTTAATATTTCTTGCCATTCCCGTTTGGCCTGCATGGTTTCTGTTGAGAAATCAGCTGACAATCGTATGGGTGCTCCTTTATAGGTAACTACCTTCTTTGCTCTTGCTGCTTTTAATATTCTCTCTTTGTCTTTTGCTCTTGGAATTTTAATTATGATGTTTCTTGGTGTGGTCCTCTTTGGATTCCTTTTGTTTGGAGTTCTGTGCGCTTCCTGGACTTGTAAGTCTAATTCTTTCACCAGGTGGGGGAAGTTTTCTGTCACTATTTCTTTCAGTATGTTTTCGATATCTTGCTCTCTCTCATCTTCTGGCACCCCCATAATTCTGATGTTGGTTCGCTTGAAGTTGTCCCAGAGGTTTCTTACATTATCTTCAATTTTCTGGATTCTCTTGTCTTCTTGCTTCTGCAGAGGAGTGTCTTCTGGCTCTTTATGTTCCAAATCTTTGACTTGATTCTTGCGATCTTCGATTCTGTTTTTAGGACTCTGTATAATATTTTTTATTTCAGACAATGTATTCTTTATTTCTTGTTGATCCCTTATTAGTTCTTGTTGATCCCTTTTCATCTCCTCATAGGTCTTATCGACCTTTTCTAGGAAATTCTTGAAAAACCTTATAAGCGTGGTTTTGAACTCTATATCCAGTCTCTTCTTTTCCTCCATTTCTTTTGTTTGTGATCTGTTTCCTTGTCTCGGCATTTTCACAGCTTCCCTGAGTTGGTAGGGTGGCTTTGTGTGCTAAGGTGTCGTATATGGTTCAGTGGGTCAGCCTCCCAGTTACCTGAGATGGACAGTCTTGGTGTAGCCCTTTGTGGGCTATGTGTGCAGTCTTGTTAAGCCTTGTTTGTTGTTGATATCACTGGGAAGCATTGATCTCCAAGCCAATTGGCTATGAGGATCAGAAGTGTCTCAGGTAGGAGGGTTTCTGTATTCCACTTGAATGGGGTGGAGTCTCGGGGTGGTACAGACAAGCATTGTTGAATCCTGCACAATTGGTTGCAGATGCGCGCACCTCTTTGGTAAAGGCGCAGACAAGCTTTAGATTCCTGTCTGCCCCTCCCTAGGAGAGTCCTATTGGCAGCAAACGAGGAAGCTAGCCACTGGAAGGGCTTCTGTGCTCTGCTTGGATGGGGCAGAGTCTCGGGTGGTGCAGACATGCTTTATTCAGCCCCTCCCTACGAGGGTCTGGTTTCTGAGTCCCACAGTAATGGCTGCTGGCTTCACACACCTCTGAGAGATCTCTGCCCACTGCCTGACAGTTTAACCTCTCCCTGTCTGGAGCTGTATCAGTGCAATAGAGTGGTTCCATTTTCCTCCCGAACAAGAAAGCCAGCCGCGCATTAGCTGTCCGCCCTGTCCGCGCTCAGGGAGTAAGCCAGTACCGAACTTGGCCCGCCCTCTCTGCGCTCCGCAAGCAAGCCAGCAGCGAACTCTGTGGCCATCTTTTCGCGCACACAGTTCTCCGCACCTTCACAGTTCCTGAGGTTCAGTGCGCCTTCTTTCTCCTTTCCAGATGGTAGAGCCTCCTCTCAGCCAGCCGTCCGGTGCTTCAGGGTGATGTTTCCCCTGGTTTTCAGTTCTGAATTCAAATTTGTTGTGGTAGGCTGCATTCGGGCGTCTACCCTATGCCGCCGCCTTGGTTTCTCCAATATCTGAGGTTCTTGGCATGAAATGGGCCCCTATTTTTCAGAGGCAAAACTGTCATTCCCTTCACCCTCACTATTCCCCAAGCCTGCCTGCTGTAATATTAATTAGGAATGACTTCTTCATGCTTGAAGTAACTGCATGGCAACAAGAGGACCTCTCTCACCAGTAGCAGTTGGGAGTGTTAGGGGGATAGAAAAAAATACCTGGCAACCAAATCTCTACTCAGCAAAAGGGTTATTCCTGAATCTAAATCCTACCTCACACTAGCACTTTTCCTACACATTCACTGGCCCACACACAATCCTTGAAAAACATTGGTAACATTAGTAAGGCTTCAACTTCACAAATGAGGTTAAATGGTTATTGTAGATTTGGGCCTAAAATATGGACAAAGATGTGAACCAAGATATCGTGGCTGTTTCCAACCGTGAGGAATGTAGTTTAGATAACTATATACTGGGATTTTTCAGACATTTTATTGGTTGATGAAGAGTACTGGTTCCATCAAAAATGGAACATCTCAAGCTCTCTGTATCATTCTCTGTATCATGTGAGAGCAGCATGATATAGAGATTAGGAGCATGTGCTCCTGAGCCAGACTGCCTCAACTTAAATCCTGGGGTCTTCTGTTCACAAATAACCTTAGGCAAGTCACTATACCTCTTTCTGCCTCCGTTTCATCATTTGCAAAGTGAAGAAGATAAATATACTGACATCAGAGTTATAAGGATTAAATGAGTAATAAAGTTAGTTATGACCACTATTGCAGTAGCTTTTATTCTCATGAATTAATGCATGAGCAGACAGCAGTTTTCACTGCATTTTATTCCATCACTATTTTTTAAAATCTATGCTAAAACTTTAAAGCTGAAAAATACCTGAGAAATCTAGTCCACGCCATTCATTTTATGGACCTGTATAACTCAGACAATGAAAACTGATTTAAATACTTTAATTTTAGCCCCAGCTGGTTTGGCTTAGTGGATAGTGTCATCCTACGGACTGATGGGTCCCAGGCTCAAATCCAGTCAAGGGGACATGCCCAGATTGTGGACTCTATCTCCAGTAGGAGACATGCAGGCAGTAGCCAATTAATGATTCCCTCTCATCATTGATGTTACTTCTTTCCCCCTTCCTCTTTGAAATAAATTTTAAAAATTATACACACACACACACACACACACACACACTTTTATTTTAGTGATAGCAGGGGAAATATTTGCCCCCAACATAATCCTTGGCCTATGCACAATGGGCTGGCAGCTCAGGTTGGGGGGGGGGGGGAGCCGGAGATGGGAGGGGAGGGGGGAGGAAGAAGTGTGAGTATAAGTTAGGAATTGCGAAATATTTTCTTGTACTAAACTGTTCAGCCAGCAAGTGTTTATTAAACTATAGTTCACTGTTGCCTTTCTGATAATAGAAATATTTTTTTGTGGAATTATAAAGAAGCAAAAAATTATGTGCAGCCTGGCTAGGTTATCTCAGTGGTTGAGCATAGACCTATGAACCAGGAAGTTGAGGTTTGATTTCCCATAGGGGCACATGCCCAGGTAGGGGGCATGCAGGAGGCAGCTAATGACTTTTTTCTCATCATTGATGTTTCCCTCTTCCTTCCTCTCTGTAGTCAGTAAAAATAGAAAGTCATGTGTAAACCAACTTTATGGAGTGTACATATATGTATGTGAATAACTTTAGATACTTGTTATAACACTGAGACAATTCAGAAGTTTCAAAAAATTTTTTTAACATTATAGCACCATTTCATTAAACATTTTTACCATCATATATTTAAATATTTTTAGAATATGACTTTATGAATATTTTGAAAATATGGATGTACTAGCCTATATAAAAAAACCCCTAATATGCAAATTGACCAAATGAAGGAACAACTGGTCACTATGATGTGCAAAGACCACCAGGGGGCAAGTGCTCAATGCAGGAACTGCTTCTTAGTGGTCACTGTGCTCAGCCAGAAGCCCTGAATCAGGCTCACTGCTGGCGAATGCAACAATGGTGGCGGGAGCCTCTCCCACTTTCGCAGCAGTGCTAAGGACTCCTTGGAGGATGTAAGACTGCTGACTTAGACTGCTGGCAGTTGGGAATCCCCCAAGGCGTCCCAGACTGCGAGAGGGTGCAGGCCGGGCTGAGAAACCCGCTCCCCCAGTGGATGAATGTCATGCATTGGACCTCTAGTATTTAATAATTCCTGCATTATTGAGTATTTAAATTGTTTTTGATATTAAACTTTGCTGTAATGAACATTTGGAAATAAATTTTCATGAGTATCTCAATTTTTATATACTATAAATTATAAGTAGAATTTCCAAAGAATATTTTAAAGACTCTTGACAATTATCACCAGATTGCCCACCAAGAAAGTTGTAACTTTCTGCTCCCACCAATAGCATATTAAAATGCAAGTTTTACCCACCCCTAGAATTACCTTTTAAAACAAAATCAAATCAAAACAAGACTTTACAATATAACAAGTACAATTTCACTTTCTCTTTTTTTATTATTGAGATTGAACATTTTTCATTTTATTGGAGATTTTTATATATTTTGTGACTTATCCAAATCTTTACTCATTTTATTCCATTGGGGCTTCTGTCTTATTCTCTGTATCCTTTTGATTTGCAAATGTTGTTGCAACCATCCTTTCCCAGTTTTTATCTTTTAGATTGTATTCATAGTTTTGGCATTTTATATGGTCAACTATGTTCATCTTTTCTTATTTTGGCATTTTATATGGTCAACTATGTTCATGTTTTCTTATTTGATCCTGCTCATTTAATAATTAGCACCAGTAACCTTTATTCTTTTTTAGTTGTTTTGTGTTTTTATTTTTTATAATTTAATCTTTAATCCATATAGAAATTATTTAGTGTACTGAAAAGTGAGACTCTATTTTTTCCAAATGGTTAATCAATTATTAGAGAATCATTTATTGAATAATCCTTCATTTCCATACTGCTTTGTCTCCAGAATATCTATAGTACTCTACGGATCTCTTAATACATACACACTAGTACTACAGAGATAGAAATACTATTGCTTTATAAGTAGTCAGGGGCTATGTCTAACTTGCTCACCACTGTATTGCTAGAACCTAGCACAGTGCCTGGAACTGAGCAGGCATTCAGTAAGTGTTTTCGAATCATGAATGAAGTGCAAGTTACTGTCATGCAAAAGTGGGAAGCAGAAGAAGACACCCTCTGGAATAAGTGAATATGCTCCAAGTCAGGACCCCTGTCTAGGTGATTGTTGGGTCACCAAGTCTGGGGTTTCCTAAATTTCTGAAAAGCTGAAACAAAAAAAATAATTTAACAAATATACATTCTTTACCAGGAAGTTCAAGCTAATGTTGGGGGAAAAAAGCTTTTCCCAAGAGAAAGATATCACAATCTCCATCACTGGCTAGTCAACCATACTGCTTGGGAAACACTGGTACAAAGTGAACCTCAGGTTTCTGAAAGGTTGCATGAAACTGTTACTATTTTCTAATATTTTTACATTCAATTCTCTTCCTAATAAGAGCTAATTCCTGTACATAGTGCCTGAGTATTTTGTTAGGCCTCGGTGTCATCACACTGAACTCCAGGGGTTGTGTCCAAATCTGAAAGTGAAAAGGCTGAAGGATATGGAGCTGAATAGAAATGCAACCTCCAGTTCCTGATAAGAGCTTGTTGCCTTGTCATTTGGCCTCATTCACCATATAAATCCCAGTTCAAATACTCTTTCCTAGAAAAGATGTTTTCCTCAGTCTCCTTGCTACTCTCTGTCACACCACTTATCCTACCATACATGATGTATTTCCCCACTAAACTGGTAATTCCTCAAGATTAGGAATTGTGTCTGTATTTCCAATATCTAGCCTACGACCTGGTATGTGCTAAGTTTTGTAAATGTTTATTGAACTCAATTTGTCCTGTTACCTAATTATAGAGTAAAAAATAAAGTTCTGCTTAAATGAGATCTCCAATGAGTTATATCTGAACCAATGAATAATAGAATCTCAGGGTTAAAAAGAGCCCTAAAACTCACCTTGTTCAAACTTTTATCATGTTGAATTTCCTCTACAATATCCTTGTGTCAAATAGTGATCTAGGATCTATCTGAACACTTAGAAATGGGAAGCTTCTTACAACTGGAATTCTCATGTTTCATCACCAATAAACTGAGAGTTTAAAAGTTCTACATTTAGTTTAGCAAACATTTATCTTCCTTTAGTTCCACACAGAACAAGTAAATTAATCCCTCTTTCATGAGACAACCATTCAAATATTTAAAAACAGTTCATGTTCCCCAAGTCTTCTCTTTTTTCAGGAAAAACATCTCCAGTCTTCCATATGTGACTCACATGATGTGGCTTTGACTTCTTTCTCTATACTTCAGGAGTAGCCTGGCTACTGCAGAGCCAGGCAGGTCTACTCTCTCCCTTGACCTTTGGTCTATATTATAGTTACATTAGTTCACACAGCTCAGGGTACAGTCTCTAAATAAGTGGTTTCACTTATTTAAACGCCTTAATTTTTTCATACAAGCCAGATCCCTCCATCTTCTACCCTGAGGTCAACCAATTGGAATTTTTTAGACTCAACTGAAGAGTTGGCCCTAGCTGGTTTGGTTCTGTGGATAGAGTATCAATCTGCAGACTGAAGGGTCCCAAGTTCGATTCTGGTCAAGGGTATATGCCTGGTGTTGCAGCTTGATCCCCTGTAGGGGGTGTGCAGAAGGCAGCCAATCAATGATTCTATCATTGATGTTTCTCTCTCTCTCTTCCTCTCTGAAATCAATAAAAATAAAATAAAAAGAGTTGGATAATCATGTTAAATTTTATCTTAAGTTTTACCATTGCCCCAGGCCTGTTAAGACCTCTGTGAATTGGGGTTCTGCCATCATTGTGATCACTGCTTTCTCTGTTTTGAGTCACCTGTAAACACGGTGAGCGAGCAAGTCAGTGATAAAGGCCAAATGGTAAGGCATCAGAGCCCTCCTCCCAAATTCACTCCATCCCTCCCTGCACTCTACCCATACACAACTTATGTTTGTGCACTGCTCCTGCTTTTCACTGTGCAAAGTCAGGCCAGAGTTCTACCTGGTGCTTAACTTACTTCCAGACCAGAAGGCCTTGTCTTCATCAGTTCATCCCATAGTCGGCGCCAGATGGCCTGAGTGGAGAGGCCTGTAGGGAGAAATATCACATTTACTTGGCTGCTCCTCGGCCACCATGAGTGAAATATATCAGCCTTTTAATGTTGTCCTTCTCTGGATTCACAAGAGCAACTGGCTCTAAAGACAGACTGCCTTGGTTTAAATATCAGCAAACCACACTCTAGCTGTGTGACCTTGGGCAAGTTACTTAATTTTTCTGTACCTTAGTTTCCTTATCTGTAAAATGTAGTTAATAACTATTTCACATAACTGTTGAAAAGATTTAATAAGTTTCTTCAGGTAAAGTGCCTAGAACAGTACTTGGCACATCAGAATTAGATAAATATTAGTTCTTAACAGATGTGTCCATTGTGGGGTTTGAGAGTTAACTTGGTAAAATAGAAAAACAAAGATTAAGAAGATTTGGGTCCTAGTCTTGTTTTACTATTAATTGTGGTGTGACTGTGGTCTCACTTTTATTAGTCTCCCAGGAATCACACACTTGTTTTATGTTTTACAGGGCACTGAAGAATCAGATAAGAAAATAGAAGTGAGGGTACTTTTGGAAAAACTTTTTGGAAGTTTTACACAAGTATCAGGTGTAATATTTATCTGAAAAACATTATGGTGTCTTACAATCATTCAGAGAAAGAGAGAGAAAGACACTCACCTTTCTTGAGGGCAGTTTCCTCAATCCTCTCCAAGTAATATATATTGAGCAGAGGTAAGATGCTTTGAAGTATTGGGCCTGGGAGGGCTAAAAAACAAAAAACAAAAACACCAAAATTTACTTTTTTCTGCCAGATTTCTTAGCATTATTTATCCTATTGGGGGTGGAAAAAAGAAGAGCAAACATCTCTTTTGACAAATGGAACCTAGGGACACGAACCTGAAGATAATTCAAACTCTGGTCTACTTATCTTTAGCCACTTATTGGCAGCTAGAATTCCATGGCCTTACACATTTACAAGGGTGAGATAATCCCACAAAGCAAGCTAATATGCTCATTTAGGAGCTGGTCATTTTATTTCTGTCCAAGCATAATGAATGATCCTATATTTTAAATGTCCTGTTGAATATGGGTGATTAAGTAAGTCCTTCATAATCTGGGCCCTACACACTTCTCCAGCTCCCTGCTTTGTCTGCTACACTTCAGCCACACTAAACTACTTTTTTTACTTATCTAAGGTGTTAACCTGCTTTCTGCCTCTGTACATGAGATTCACTTTCTTAAACTGTTCTCCCCATCAAGAATATCCTTGTCACTTTCTGAATAACAACTACTTATCTTTCAAGTATCACATGCACTTTATTAAGCCTTTCCTGAATTCCCTTCCCATTCTTCCAGGTTGGCTACTTCCATTCTTTGGGCACCACTAGGTCCAAAACTAGTACTCTCATAAGAAAAATAGAAATAGTTAGGCTCTATACTCAAAATTCAATGTCTTAAAATCAAAACTTGCTTGCTGACTTCCCTAGATCTGAGAGGCATTACAATATTATGGCTAAATGGTTTGGTCCCTAGAGTTGCACAAAACTGGATGAAATGCTGGTTGTACTACTTAATTATGAATCCATGGGCAAATTAATGTCTTTAAACCTAAATTTCCTAAATTTTAAAACAGAGATAACTACCTCATAACATTGTTGTGAAAATTAAAGATCATGCTTGTAATCTTTTTAAGGCCATGCTGGCCATAATAAGCTCACTAAATGTTGGCAATTACTATTCTTATTCTATCAATAGCATCTCTGTCCAGCCAAGAATAAGTTTAAGAACTTGGAGTATACCATAAGTAATGAAAATCTTTAAAAACTTCCATTTAGTATCTCTTTTTATATTTATCTGTAGAATAAATGAATCTTGCTATTTAAGAACCTAGTACAATTCTTTGTATATACTGGGTACTCAAAGTACTTGCTGAATAAAAGCACTAATTCCCTATGCTATTACACTAATGTATGTTCTCTATTGCATTTCAGATAAATCCAACCCATATATTGGCATTCAAGGTATAACATACCTGTTTTACTTAAGTTTCCTCATTGTATACTTTTCTGCTATTTCTATTCACTTTCTCCACAAAGTAAAAAAAGTTCACCTCCTCTGGGAAGCCTTTCCTGGTTGTTCAGGCCACACTGAGACTTCCCTCCCAAACAGCACTGCTCAGCAGGACTCTTCCTTGGCTCCTCTAAGAGGCCTGAAGATCCAGCTTCCCTATGTGACCATTTACCTGGAGTAGGCCATGGAGCTCTTCCTCCAATCTACTCCCCGGTTAGCCATCCACTCTCACAGCCCCTATCATCCACACACTCCTCTCTTCCCTTCTTCATTCTTCTTAAGCCAGGCTCCTCCTTGCTTCTCTCCAGCCTACACCTTTAATGCTTCCTCTTCTCAGCCCGGGGCCTCCAGCCCAGGCCTGCACACTGAGCCCTCTTTTCTCATGGCTTTTGGTATCCTAGAAGCTCCAGGCTGACACAGCCGGATCCCGGCCGCCTCTTCCACCTGCCCCAGCACTTTCCTGCACCCCCTGCTCACTCCGTGGAGACTTTCCTCCTGTTTCCTGTGGGCCAGCCTGACCCTTCTCTTAGATTTTGGCACAGAGGCTCCACAATCCCCTCCCCCACTAGGCCTGAGGTATTCCACGGCCTCCCCCCAGGACATAAAGACACCGGCCTCTTCAAGACCCGACCCCCCCACACCAGGGCCTTCCCACTCCCTGCGCCTCCTCAACCACTCTCCACCGCCTGGGGGCTTATTCCTAGGGGGCTCCCACCCCCCCCGAAAAAGATCCATCCTTCTGGGCCTTTTCTCCACATCCTCCTCAGAATACAACCCAAAGCCCCATCCCAGGCCGTCAAGCCATCCATCCTGACCTTAGCAGGGCCTTCCTCCTGGCAGAGACACCCCACCTCTCCTGAGGCCTTCTGCAGAACCCCCCTGCCCAGGCCTAGGGCCTCCTCTCCCCACCCCTCCCCCTTAGGCCTGGGCCTGGCCTGGCCTGTGATAGACACCAACTTCAGCCCAGGCCTCAACCCCACCCCTCAGCCACCGCCTGTCAGGCCCCGGGCCTCCTGTCCCCTGCGCGGGCAGGCCTGTCCTCCGGGGCCCTCGCTTTGCTCTCTTCCATTCCCGCCGTCAGTCCCCACGATGCCCACCAGAGTTTTACTCACCAGCGGCCGGGCTGCGGCCAGGCGCACCCACCCCTCAGCCAGGCCTCCGAGTGCCCACGGGCTGCAGGCCTCCTCCCCTCCGTTACTCGGCCCACCGCGGCCTGCCACGCTCTCCGGCCCCTCAGCGAGGCTGTCCGCGTCGTCCTCCGGGCCCCGCATCCGCGCGCCCCAGGCCGCCGGCCTCCACCCCAGCCGGGCCCGGGGGGCGCCGCCGCCCTCAGGCCCGGGGCCTCCTCCCTCCACTCCCACTCGCATCGGGGCCTCCGAGCGGCGCGGCGCCCCCTCCCAGCGCGGGACACCCGGGCCGTGGCCCCGCCGCGGCCTCCGGGGCCCTTCCCGCCCGTCCGTCATCGGGGCCTCCCGGGATTGCTGACCGCTCCCTCCGGGCCTCCCGCCGCCCGCACTCGGCCCTGCCCGGCCCTCCAGCCGGTCCGAGCGGCCTCGGGCGCTCCCGGCCCGGCCCGTCCGCCCGTCGCTCCATCAGCTCGGCCCGGAGGCCCCCCGACCTCAGCTCGCCCCCCTCCGCCCCGGGCCGTCACACAGGCCTCGGCACCCCAGGCCCTTCGGCCTCTCCCCCCGGCCCCGGCCCTCCCTCCCGCCTCAATCCCTTGGGCTGCCCTCTCCCATCGGCTTGGCCTCCGGGGTCGCAGCACCCATGGGTGTCGGGCAGAGCGCGGAGGTTTCGCGCTGTCAATCAGCCTGGGTGGCCCCGGGCCGGGCCTCCTCGCCTCAGGCCGGGCCTCCCCGCCTCGGCCCCCGCCCCCAAACGGCAGGGCCATCCCTGCCCGTCGGCTCGGCATCCGAGCCTCCGCTGCCCGGTCCGGCGCCAGTGTCAGCGCGGCGCCCGCGAACCGGCCCGCCAGTCCGGCCTCTGAGGTCCGAGCCCCGCCGCCTTCGCCCCGGCCCGGGCCTCCCGGCCTCGCCCCCCGCGCCCCCCGGCCAGGCCGCGGAGCGGGTCCACCTGCCGGCGCGGTGCCCGTCTTCCCTCCGCCCGGTCCAGTCAGTCCGACACCGAATCCATGCTCCGACCACCCGGCCCGGCGCCCGGCGCCTCGGGCTGGGCCTTGCCCCGGGCCTCCCGGCCTCGCCCCCCGCGCCCCCCGGCCGCCGGGCCGCCCCCGCTCGCTGCCGGAGGTAGCCCCTCACCCCGCGACTTACCCCACACCCCGCTCTCCAGAACCCCCATATGGGCGCTCACCGCCCGCCCGCACAGCTCGAACAGGGCGGGGGGAGCGCTGGGGCCCGAGGCCGAGCTCTTCGCTGGCGCCGCCTCCCGGGACGTGGCCTCCATGGTCGTTGCCGCCGCTACCTCACAGAACCAGCAACTCCGGGCGCGCCAGGCCTCGGGCGCCGCCATCTTGGGGAGGTGCGCGAGCCCGGGGGCGGCCGCCGCCGGCCGCCATCTTGAAAAGGTCAGCAGTTAGGACGGTTTCATCCGCAAATGTGGGTGAGACGGAGAACGGCGCTTAGAGGAGCGGCGAGCAGATCTTCATGCTTACAACGTTTCTGGGAAGGTGATATTTCAGATAAAGGCCTACGTCAACCTATGTGGGTCTGGCGGGACGAAAGAGACATTTTTTAGCGAATCCTTCTCAGGTGGGAAGACCGGCTCCCCCTGAGCCCTGCCTGCGGACGGTTGGTACGTGCCAAACCGAGCGTGTGTTCGGGGCTGCGAGGAGTCTGCCGCACTTCCGGCCAGGCCGCCGGATATCCGGCGAGTGACCCTTGCGAGTCCTTCTGGATTGTGAAGTGGAGTAGGCGCTGCTGTTGCCGCTCTTGTTCAATCCAGAGCCGCAGCCGGACATGGGGCTGGAGGACGAGCGCAAGATGCTGACCGGGTCCGGAGACCCCAAGGAGGTGAGGCGAGGCGGCGGTCGAGGGTCAGAACCCAGCCCGCCAAAACGCCGGGCCCTCATGGCCCTGCTTCCACCCCCCTGCCCCCCGGAGTTTGCAGGGCAGGGAGAGCCGGTTCCCTTGGCCCCCAGAACCCCCCGAGTGACCTTGGGCAAGGAGGTGACGAGTCTTTGGGCCTCGACCTTCCTCGTCTATGGATCTGGTGAAGGTTTAACGAAAGCGAAAATGCTGTGTTGACTACTCTTGTAAAAATACCATCTATAGCCCTGGCCGGTTTGCTCAGTGGATAGAGCATCGGCCTGCGGCCCGGAGGGTCCCGGGTTCGATTCCGATCCAGGGCACATGCCTGGGTTGCGGGCTTGGTCCCCAGTAGGGGGCGGGCAGGAGGCAGCCGATCAACGGATTCCCTCTCAATATTGATGCTTCTATCTCTCCATCTCCCATCCTCTCTGAAATCAATATATATATTTAAAAACCATTAAAATGCTACCTATATTTTCAGTCAGTCGGGTGTCTTGATTTGACGTGTTTGGGGAAGCAGCTCAGGTCAGGAGCCCCTGCCACATCTTCTGTGGAGGTTCCGGAGATTTGCCTTTACACTCGTTTCTGTGAAAAAATGGTTTCTTTTCCTTTGAGGGGGTTAGGGGAAGGTACCTTTCTCTGGGGGACCGTGTAGGAATGTGTTCTTTTCCAGAGTAAGAATGCCGATAATGATTGACTGCTTACCATTTCAAGTGCTCCAAGTGTGCTAATTCGTTTAAGCCACACAGTCATCCTATGAGGTAGTAGGTACTAGCACTGCCGTGTTACAGAGGAGACAGGCGTAGAGAGGTTAGCATCTTGTCTAAGGACACACAGCTCCTGAATCCCGGAGCCAGGAACCGAACCGAGAGGAGGTTCAGAGCTAAGACTCAGCCCCAATGCTCTGCAGCCGTCCAGAGGCCAGCTAGCGTTTGTTTCCAACCACATGTCCTGTCTTCTGTCAGTTTTGTGCTTATGGGTTCAGATTAGTTAGAAACTAGTTTATCCCATAATTTTTCCTAGTCTTCTTATTTTCAGGAAGAGGACCAGAAAGATGTGGAGCCAGCCTTAGGAAGTTCAAGGAGAATATTAGACTCTTCAGTAGGGCTCACTACAGTGGTAGATGAGAAAGAAAAATTAAATAAGTAGTTTTAAATTTAAGAAAATGGAGGTCTCCTGGAGATTAAATCTTTTTAGTTCGTGTGATGTTGGTTTTTCTTATTGACTGGAAATTTTACAGGAAGTATTCCATAACCAGACTTGTAATTGGATTTGTTTTTCCAAAACAAGCCATGATACCTTTGTCACAAAATTACCAAAGACACAGAACAATTAATGTAATAGTATTGCTAATAGGGGAATGACGTAAAGGTCCTGCTCCTAAGATAATTAATTTCTGGTTTCTAAACTCAGGCAGAATGTGATTTGTTTTTTAGAGATATTTTTAGTATGGATTTTATTTAAAGAGCAAAGTCAAGAAACCTTATTTAATGGAAAACTAGAATTTTACCTCCCAAATAACTCTTTATGTTTATTTTTAAATGTTCTTATTGATTTCAGAGAGGAAGGGAGAGAAAGATAGAAACATCAATGACACGCCCCCTACTTGGGATGGAGCTCACAACCTGGGCATGGGCCCTTGACCGGAATCAAATCCGGATCCTTCAGTCTACAGGCCCACACTCTATCCACTGAGCCAAACTGACTAGGGCCGCTGTTGGCAAACTGCGGCTCTCGAGCCACATGCGGCTCTTTGGCCCCTTGAATGTGGCTCTTCCACAAAATACCACAGCCTGGGCGAATCTATTTTGAAGAAGTGGTGTTAGAAGAAGTTTAAGTTTAAAAAAATTGTCTCTCAAAAGAAATTTCAATCGTCGTACTGTTGATATTTGGCTCTGTTGACTAATGAGTTTGCCAGCCACTGGGCTAGGGCAACATCTTCATGTTTAGATGAGGCCTTTGCCAATTGTGGGAATAAATGGCCTGGGTTACAGTTGAACTCCTTTACCCCTCCCAGCTGTCATGGGCTTTGTTTTGGTCCTTTCTGAAGGGCATGGTAGAGAATGAGCCAGATTGTGTTAGAATTTTGGAAACATTGAGGGATGGCTGAGCTAGTTCTTTTATTTCCTTCTATACCTTCTCTTCCCTGTAAATATTTCTCTGTTTTCCATGTCCAACACAGCTAGAGACTGGCCTGGTTCCTGAGTAGGGGCTGCTGGGGATTGAGAAAATGAAAGAAAGAGACAGACACAGAGATGGAAGGAAAAAGCTGGGGCTGGATGGGATCACAGTCCTTTGACAGGGACATGGACCCAGAGCCAATACAGCGAGTTTTTTTTATACAGAAAAAAAATAAATAAATAAAAAAATAAGAAGTCTTACTAAGTGTCAAGACAAAGGAGATTATGTGCGGACTGAAAGGTCCTGGGTTCACCGAAACCGGTTTGGCTCAGTGGATAGAGCGTCAGCCTGCGGACTGAAGGGTCCCGGGTTCAATTCTGGTCAAGGGCATGTACCTTGGTTGCGGGCACATCCCCAGTGGGGGTTGTGCAAGAGGCAGCTGATCGATGATTCTCTCTCATCGAGGTTTCTGACTTTCCCTCTCTCCTCTCTGTAAAAAATCAATTAAAATATATTTTAAAAAAGAAAGAAAGAAAGAAAGAAATGCATTTGTGCCTTCCCAGACACTCTCTACACTTTCCCTTCTCCCAAAAATTGACACATACATGACAGGTTGAAATACTGATCAGATAGACTCTTCTGCCCCTGATTTAGGCCTATGCTGATGCTTCCTTAGGGAATCTTTTTTGACATTGTTCTCTTTGGAAGAAAGAAAACTAAGCTTGAGACTGTGCACCAGAATCGGAAATAAATAGGAAGGGCCTGGTGCTGCCAAGCTCATGGATGGAAACATGTAGACATCTTATATTGATAGTCTACTTAGAGCCCTGGGAGTTCTGCAAGCCAAAAGCAGCAGCTGTAACCATCTTCAGTTAAGCTCTGGCTAAAGAAGAGTGTTGGTTTGGCCATTTTCATATTCACAATTCAAGTTCATAATCCAGGAAAAATGTTAGTTTTCCTTCTAACTTGGTTTTAGAATGTAAGGACTAAATTTAGCTATTTCTAGTAATAATGGGACTCACCAGAATTTAGAACAAAATACTTTAAAATATATATATATATTTTGTTGATTTTGTACAGAGAGGAAGGGAGAGGGAGAGAGTTAGAAACATCAATGAGAGATAAACATCAATCAGCTGCCTCTTGCACACCCCCTACTGGGGATGTGCCCGCAACCAAGGTGCATGCCCTTGACCAGAACCTGGGTCCCTTCAGTCCGCAGGTCAACGCTCCATCCACTGATTAGGGCAGAACAAAATACTTTTTTTAATGTTCCATATGAACATCCGGCAGCTTGAATTTATATCAGAAAATGTCTAATTAGTGTTATTTCTCGACTGGAAATCCCTTAGTGCTGTTGTGATTAATCAAATCATATGAGAGTGCTTCATACACTTAATAGTGTTGTGAATTCTTAGCATTCACCAACCTTTCGGGTCTTGTGGGCTACCCTTGGTGACCTCTGCTTTAGGTTGTTGCTAATGAAAGTGAGATAGTATGTCTTTTTGAAGTGTACCCAGGATTTGTTTTAACGCGGTATGGTAAGCTTACAGACATTGAGAGGATTGTTTTTGAAAGAAGAGTTTATTACTTACTAGAGGCCTGATGCACGAAATATGTGCATGGGCCCAGCCCTCGCATCCACAGTGGCTGCCCTCGGCCCTGGCAGCTCCAGCTTTGTCTGGAAAGTCATCTGGAAGGTCTTTCAGCTGACTGGTTTAATTAGCATATTAGGCTTTTATTATTATAGATAGTTCCCCAAAGAACTTAAAAAGTAATAAGGCCATACCACATAGGGCCACGTAGAGAAGTGCCTGGACCACTCAGGAGCAGAAGAAGCAGAGAAAGGAGAGAGAGCCTTGGTTTCTAAGAGGAGGAGTAGATGAGGAGGATAGGCAAGCTTTAGCAAGTTTAGGATTAGATAGAATCATTTCTGATGCTTCTGGGCTAGGGGGTGGTCCCTAGTTGTTTGGCCCTGGGGTGGTTAGGGCAGGGGCAATATTTGGTTTAGGGTGGGAGAGTTAGCTAAATAAGTAGTTGTTGGTTAGGTACTTGGATTGGTTGTTTTACATATGAGAGGCATGTCCCCAGGCTAGTTGTTGCACTCCCTAGAAATTATCTGCCCTGGGAGGGGCTGTCTCTCTAGGACTGGCAGGGCCCCTAAAATGTCAAAACATCATAAAATACAGAAATTTTAAAACATGGTTAATGTAATGTCTGTCATCAATAATTACAAGATAAATATGATTGGGAATACATATGTCATAAAAATGCTGCTAACATTAATTTTGTTTTCCTTTTGTAGGAAGAAGAGGAGGAGGAATTAGTGGTAAGAGCTGTCTCCGTTTTGGAACCGTCACAATAAAAGGAAGGTTGAGCTTCCTAAAACTCTGAAGCCATTTTAAGAGTCTTTGTGTGTGAAACTCGGAGAGAGTGGGAGTGGTGAAAGCCTTTGCTTCCTGTGCAGGGGAGTGTTTGGGGGTGTGGCCTGGGAAGCTGGGTCCTTTCTGGGCTTGGGGCTTCTCCAGTTGTGTCAGGGAGCACAGCAGCATTTTGAGAGCCTGGCACTCGGTCTTTGTGGTTTAATAAAGAATTCTGAAAGGATCTTTCCCTGGGTGGCCCTTCTCTCTGTTAACATTGCCTTTCTAGCTGGGTGGATAGGCCTTGCTGTCAGATTGAAATTCACAGATATTACATAATCCCAAATGCTACGTTAACAAGTCAGGCCTCCTATAGATCTACTTCAAGTATGGCCAGGTTTCCTTTATCGCTTTATTTTTCAGATAGCACTGAGGCTCTCAGCACATACTGGCAGCCTTGGAAGGCAGAAATGTGAACCTTTTTCCTACTGCTTAGCATCAGAATTGAATGAGAGACCCCATTCTGCCGTTTCTGGTGGCAGCATGGCTCTGCCAGCTAGCCTTCTGCATGGTGATTAGGCAGCACCTTGGTTTAGTGGTTGTATTAATCACGGCATATGATTTGTAGATCGCCCCCTGAAACCCCCGTTTTGTTTTCTGTTTTGTTTGTGTGTTTCTCCATCAGGATCCCCTGACCACAGTGAGAGAGCAATGCGAGCAGCTGGAGAAATGTGTGAAGGCCCGGGAGCGGCTGGCGCTCTGTGATGAGCGCGTTTCCTCCAGGTCACAGACGGAGGAGGACTGCACGGAGGAGCTCTTCGACTTCCTGCATGCCAGGGACCACTGTGTAAGTCAGCCTCCGCCGAGAAGGGGAGCTTACAGTGGCCGGGAAGATTTGGTTCTGACAACCTTTTCATCCTAGCATTTATCGTGGCCCAGTGTATGTCAGGTACAGTACTGGGCACTTTACATGCGTAATCTTACGTAATCCTACCACTTTCACTTGAGCCAGATATCACCCCCATGTTACAGATAAGAAACTGAGACTCAGAGAAGATAAACGCTATCCCAACTTGTACTGCTAAAAAGTGGGGAAGCTGGATTTTGTACTTTTAAGTAACAGCTGTTCTTTAAAATGATTTATATCCTCCAATGTGTCTTTTACATAGCAGTTGGTCCAAAAAGGATTTTTTTTTTTTTTTTTAAGTAAACTTGTTTGGCTTTCTGACATATAATAATAATGTATTTTCTATAGGGTAGGCACACTCTCCCTCTGTCTCTAAAAAAATCTAATAAAATACATTAAAATAATAATAAAATAAGTTATAGGGTAGGCAAAGTTTGATATGGTTGCTTATGTTAAAACTGGTTGGCTGATAAGCATTATGAAAAGATGTTCGATACCATAGCTATCAGGGAAGTGCAGATCAAAACCACAATGAGAGACTACTTCACATCCATAGATCAGCGGTCTCCAACCCTCTGGACCTCGCGGACCACTGGTTAGCAACCACTGCACTAGATTGACTCCTAACAAAAAAGTGGGTAGCAAGTATGGGCCTGTGTGGGGAAATTGGAAACCTCATACACTACTGATGGGAATGTAAATTGGTAAAGCCTGTAGAAAACTGTCATTTTTCAAAAGATTAAAGATAGAGGTACCCATCAGTTCTACTCAGGTATATACCTAAGAGAAATGAAAGCATGTCTACAGCCGAAACCGGTTTGGCTCAATGGATAGAGCATCGGCCTGCGGACTGAAGGGTCCCGGGTTCTATTCTGGTCAAGGGCATGTACCTTGGTTACAGGCACATCCCCAGTTGGGGGGGTGTGCAAGAGGCAGCTGATCGATGTTTCTCTCTCATTGATGTTTCTAACTTTCTATCTGTCTCCTTTCCTTTCTGTAAAAAAAATAAAATAAAATATATTAAAAAAAACAAAAACATGTCTACATAAAAACACAAAAATTTTCATAGAAGCATTTTTAAAATATATATATACATATATGTTTTTATTGATTTCAGAGTAAGAGACTGAAAGAAACATTAGTGATGAGAGAGAATCATTGATCAGCTGCCTCCTGCACACCACCTACTGGGGATCGAACCTGCAATGTGGGCATGTGCCCTGAATGGGAATCGAACTGTGATCTCCAGGTTCATGGGTAGATGCTCAACCACTGAACCACACTGGCCCAGCATAAGCATTATTCTTTATAGCCATAATGTAGAAACAATGTAAGTGTCCATAAACTGATATATCCATATAGTGAAATATTCTTTGGCAATAAAAATAAATCAAGGCTCGGGCCGGGTGGCTCAGTTGGTTAGAGAGTCATCCTTATACACCATGGTGGCAGGGTCATTCACTCGTCAGGGCACGTGTAAGAATCAGCCAACTGCCCGGCCATTGGTTTGAGAATCGATCTATGAACCAGAGGATTACAATTCGATTCTTGTGCAGGGCACATGCCCAGGTGGCAGGCTCAACCCCAGTAGGGGGTGTGCAGGAGGCAGCTAATCAATGATTTTCATCACTGATGTTTCTTTCTCTCCCTCTTTCTTCCTCTCTCTGAAATCAGTAATAATATACCTTTAAAATTAGCCAATGAATGTATAAATAAGTGGAACAGCAAATCTGTCTCTTCCTTCCCTCTCAAAAAAAAAAAAAAAAAAAAAAAAAGGAAATCAAGCACTTTACCCCAAACTCTAAACATAGAATTATTGTATTGATCCAGCGGTTTCACTTCTGTGTATATACCCACAAGAACTGAGACTTTGTTCAAGGACTTGAAACAGATATTTATGCATTCATGTTCATAGCGGCATTCACAATATCCAAAAGGTGGATAAACAAAATAGGAAATTTAAAGACATACTAAGTGAATCCATCACAGAGGACAAATACCATTCCACTTATATGAGTCACCTTACGTAGTCAAATTCATAGAGACAAACTAGAATGGCAGTTGACAAGGTTTGAGGAAAGAGAAAATGGAGAATTATTATTTAGTTGGTACAGAGTTTCAGTTGATGGTGAAAAGAATCTGGAGATTAATGATGGCAGGACAGTATGAATGTACTTAATACCACAAAAATGTATTGTTAAAAATGGTTATATTTATGAGCAAAAGCACTAGATTAAGATCTGGGCGTGAGATGGGTCTCTTTCTTCATTATGAGCCAGAGAACAATCAGTAAATTGGTAAGTCTCTGAGTTTAACCATCTTAGGGTGGTCTCACTGACCCAGAATTTAAAGATGCATCTTTTTACTTTCCTCAGGATTTATCACTTTCAGAAGTGACCTTATGTGTATATTATATTTCTCTTGTTGTTTCCAAGTTCCATCCATAAGAGGCAGAGAGATTGTGTTTACCTAGAACGGTACCTGGCATTTAGAATTGTATATTTGTGGAATTGATAAGCACTATGATATGGGAGGTATACATTTCTGTGGGGAAGACGGAGGAACAGATTTGTGTGGAAATAGGGCTTATATAGAGAAGGCTTTCATGTTAACTTAAGTTTTAAAGAAAAAGATGAAAGCAAATGGAAAAGAGTTCCAGGTAGAAGGGAGATTCAGGTAAGGGGAGTTCACTGTGGCTCAGGAGGGTGTGGGTGTGCGAGAAGGAGAATCATGAGAGAAGGGACAGGACCCGTCTAGGTCATACAGAACCCTGTAAGCCATGACATTAAAGCTGCCAATTAATGACTTCTTTTCTTTCCTCCTCCTAGGTGGCCCACAAACTCTTCAGCAGCTTGAAATAAATGTGCAGATTAATCACCCTTGGGCAGCAGGATAGTTCCTTTGGTTTTGAAGATGCCATTTGTTTCTTATTTGTGTAACTGCAAGTTCATGTGAACACCTCATGGACTTTGGTTAGGCAAGTTGCTTCTATGTACTTAGCAGTGATTATATCTTAATAAAGTCTGGTAATCTGCAAACCTTTATTTTAATTGGATTATTTATTTTTTAATTTCTTTATTGATTAAGGTATCACATATTTGTCCTCATTCCCCCCATTCCCATCCCAAACCCCTCCCCACATGTCCCCACCCCCTTCTTGTCCATGACCACTGGTTAGGTTATATGCATGCAGCATACATACAAGTCCTTTGTGGATTTTTTATTTGAAATTTCAAGCAAAAGGATGGATAATAACCCCTCTGTACCCATCACCTAGTATAGTTGCTTTCTTTAAAAAAAAAAAAAAAAAAAGGAGAGGGAATAGGTTTGTGTAGGGAGGGGTATTGGAGTCTAAGCAGGGTGAGTAAAGGGAATCTGGGTAGGTGGGATATTGAAGATAATGGGAGCTAATAGAGAATGAAATTACAAATACGGAAAAGGAAAAAAAAGAATGAACCTTGCCGAAACCGGTTTGGCTCAGTGGGTAGAGCTTCGGTCTGCAGACTGAAGAGTCCCAGGTTCGATTCCGGTCAAGGGCATGTGCGTTGGATGCAGGCACATCCCCAGTGGGGGGTGTGCAGGAGGCAGCTGATCGATGTTTCTCACTCTCTTCCCTTCCTCTGTAAAAAGTCAAACAAAAATGAACCCTGCAGAGTTAAGGTATCAGTATAAACTAAATAAATGCAGATTTTAATGTAAGTAAATATATATGCCAATATGTGTCCATGCAGAGAATATGTTTTCCCTAGGTCAGCCCACAAAGGCCTTTATTCTCCAATAAAAGAAACCAGAGCCCCTTGGAGAAATGGGTGATTACAGGTCTAGGCAGGAAAAATACAAGAGAAATCATTTTGTTCCAGAAAGAAGGAAGTACTCAAAGAACAATAGGAACGTGTCAAAGGTACACAAAACCACTATTCAAATCTGGGACAATTTGAGAATCAAAACATGTGATGACAGCTGAAAGTTGTTTGGCTCAGTGGATGGAGCATCGGCCTGCAGACTGAAGGGTCCCGGGTTCGATTCCAGTCAAAGACATGTACATTGGTTGTGGGCACATCCCCGGTAGGGGGTGCAGGAGGCAGCCAGTCGATGTTTCTCTCTCGATGTTTCTGGTTCTCTATCCCTCTCCCTTCCTCTCTGTAAAAAATTAAATATATATTTTAAAAAAAAAACCTAAAAACAAAATATGTGATGACAAGCCTGGGAGGGTAGCTTGGTTGGAGTTTCATTTTTCAATCCTCAGGTAAAGATTAAAAAAAAACACACACACAAAAAAGTGTGTGTGTGTGTGTGTGTGTGTGTGATGAAAGCATTAGATTACATCTCATTGAATAAAATAGGATCCATGAATCTGTACTAATACAAATAAGTGAATCACTTGAAAGTTTGGTGAGGAAAGGGATACGTATTAATTGCAAAAGGAGAAAGTACACTGGAGAAGCTTGGCAGGCAGTTACTTGGATTAAAGCTGACAATAATGGGACAAATAACTCTCACCTATAGGCAGCAATGAAAAAAAGCAAATTTTTCTGCTTTTGAAGAAAAGCAAATGGATCTGGCCTGTGAAATGGGAATGATGTGCTGGACTGGCTGGGAGGCAGGGATGACCCTTACCTTCTGCAGTAACAGGAACGGGACAGCAGATGGCGACAGCCTCTGCCGCCTCCTCCCAAGGCAGGCGGCTGGGCTGGGCTGGAACCACAGCTGGTTAACCCTTTAGAAGGGGCAGGTGGGAGGCTGAAGGAGGGCTTTGGCCCGGGGCCCAGTGGGCATCCTGGGAGGCCTGTTCTGCCTGCCACTCTGCAGACTGGTCCCCTCTGGTGGCCGCACTGCTCAGGCCGAGCCCTCCAGGAGCTGGACAGCAGCACAGACTCCGCTCTCAAGGTGTTTGGGGCAAGGGATTGGGGAACAGAGTACCCACTAGTGCCTGGTCCCCTCTGTCCAAGGGGTCTCCCCACGGGCCCCTCCCAGGCTGGCTTAAGGACCCTGGAGCTGCAGGCTGGGGCTCAGACTCAGCAGATCCCCGAAGCTGCAGGGAGTGCTGAGGGTGCTGTGTGCTGCATGGGGCTCCAGGGGATGAGAGATTCTGCCATGGAGGCAGGCGGGGTGGCATGAGGGACCTGGATGAGGTGGTACAGGGGCAGAGCACAGACTGGCTGCAGGAAATCAGCCAGTTTGCAGACCTCGAATCAATTTATTTTCGAGGTAAAACAAAATCTGCCAGGGAGACAGATGGCTGAAGCCAGGCCTAGGAAAAATAATGCTACTTTGTAATCTGAGCCACAGACAGAAGATTGAGGGATGTGGCCAGGAGCCCCAGAAGCTGGAGAGGCAGGAAGGACCTTCCCCTGGAGCCCTTTGAGGGAGCACACCCCGGACACCCTGATTTTAAATTCTGGCCCCAGAATGCCAGCGCACACACGTCCTGCTGGTTTAGGCCAGTCTGTAGTCACCAGAGCAGCAGCCTCAGAACAGACTCCTCCGTGCCCCTCCTCAGGGGCTTTGATCAGGTTCTGTGGACAGCAGAGCCCTGTGCTCCGGCAGGGGAGGCCCCCTGGACCCCTCACTGCAGGCTCACAGGGAGATCCACCCCTGTATCTGCACCTCGGCCCTGTCTCCCATCCCCTGGGCGCCTGGGCAGCGACAGTGCAGTGGGCACCAGGGCAGGCTGCTGGGTGGGAAGTGCAGACTCTGTGGCTCAGGGATTCCTTGCAGCCTTGTGGGGCCCCCAGCTGCAGGATGAGGCAGGTACTCCCCAGCCCGCCCTCACCGCCCAGGCCTTCCCCCTAATGAGTCCAGCCTGGGCCTCTGCTTTCTGGAGCATCTGGATTGCCACGCCCATATTTTAGAAGCCAAAACTGAAGCTCAGAGAGAAGGAGCAGAGGTCCCTACCCACCTCCTCCCCTCTCCCCAACTCAGCCCAGCTCACAGGAGGCCCTGCAGCTGCCGCCTGTTGCAGTAGTGTCGGAGGAGGAGAAGGAGGAAAAAGAGGAGGAGGAGGAGGGGGAAGAGGAGGAGGAGGAGGAGGAGTTGTTCTGAGAAATAATCCAAAAATACACACCAGCTGGCCTCTCCTTCCTCACTCCCTCCCTCCAGCTTCTAAGCCTCCTTTTGTGCAGGTGGGCGGGGCTCTTCCTGGCCTGGCTGCCAGAGCTAAGGGGTCAAGGAGGCAGAGGGTCCAAGTAGTGGGTTCTGGGACCCGACCTCACCCAGCAGATTTTCTGGACCTGAGCCAACCTTCGACACTAACCCTTAACATTTGACCCCTTGACACCAAGCCTGATAATCCTAACCCTATCCCCAACTCCCAACCCCACCCCACCCAACCCTACTCCTAACCCTAATCCTAACCAACCTTTTCACTTCAAATTCATCTCTTGCAAAGCAAATTTGACTTTTGCATATAAAATTCATCTCTTGCAAAGCAAATTCACCATTTCCAAAGAAAATTCACCTTTTCCACTTCTGACTCTGACCCTGACCCCAACCCTGACCTCAACCCCTAATCCCTAAATCCTAAACCCTAATGCTAACCCTAACAACCCTAACCACAATGCTAGCCTAACCTTTGACATTTGATTCCTTACTTTAACCCTTGACATTTGACATTTAATGACTGGAACTTGCCCTTTGACCCTTTGACTCTTGACATATTACACTTTGACCCCAACCTTAGACCATGACCCTAAGACAAATCCTAACAACCCTAACCCTACACCCTAGACCCTGGACCCTAGACACCAGATCCTGGGTTTTTGAACCTTGACATGTTGACCCTTGACTTTTGACTTTTGACCCCTTACCCATGTTCTTTGATTTTTCCACACTAACCCTTGACATGTGACCCTTGACACCAAGCCTAACAGTGCTAACAACCCTAAAATCCTAACCCTAATCCTAACACCATCCCAATACCAACCCCATCACACCCCACCTAACCTTACCCCTACCCCTACCTTTTCACTACAAATTCATCTTTTGCAAAGCAAATTCATCTTTGCAAAACAAATTCATTTTTTTGCAAAACAAATTCACCTTTGCAATGCAAATTCATCTGTTTTTTTTTTAATCACCACCATTTTTTTTTAATTGATTTCAGAGAGGAAGAGAGAGGGAGAGAGACAGAAACATCAATGATGAGAGAGAATCACTGATTGGCTGCCTCCTGGACCCCCTGCCCCACTAGGGATCGAGCTGCAACCCAGGCAGGTGCCCTTGACCGGAACTGAACCCAGCACCCTTCAGTCGGCAGTCCAACACTCTCCACTGAGCCAAACCAGCCAGGGCCAAATTTAATTTTTTTGAAAGCAAATTCACCTTTTGCAAAGTAAATTCATCATTAGCAAAGCAAATTCATCTTTTCCAATTCATATTCCTCTTTTGCAAAGCAAATTCATATTTTGCCAAGCAAATCCATCCTGGGCATATCGAATTCATCCGTTGCAAAGCAAATTTACTATTTCTACTTTTGATCCTAACCCTGACCCTGACCCAACCCTAAGCCCTAAACCTTAACCCTAACCCTGATATTTGACCTTTGGCCCCTGATCTTAGAAATTTGACATTTGGCATCTGGCTTTTGATCCTGACTATTGATTTTGACCCCTGATACTTGCCCTTTGACCTCTGACCTTTGATGCCTGAAACTTGCCTTTTGACTTTTTATGTTTTACACTTTGACCCCTGACCTTCGACCATGGCCCTTTGCAAACCCTAACCACCCTAACAACCCTAACCGTACACCAAAAATGTCAAACTCGTGGCCCCATGCGGCCCACAATGAATATTTTTGTGGTGCAGCCAATATAATATATGTAAGAAACGTGTTTTTTTTTTAATATATTTTATTGATTTTCCA